TTTTTTTTTTTTTATAAACCTCACCCAAGGTTATTTTTGGCATAGAGGGGGGAGGGGGGCAAAGAGAGAAAGAGAGAGAAACATCGAAGTGAGAGAGACACATTGACTGGTTGCTTCTCCCATGTGCCCCGACCAGGGACAGGAATCGAACCTGTGACCCCACACTGTAACCACTGAACCAAACTGGCCAGGGCTTGGGACCTGTTTTATAAGGGCATTAATCCCATTTAGGAGGGCTCTGAACTCATGACCTAATCACCTCCCAAAGGCCACCCCACCTACACATACCATCACATTGAAGGTTAGGTTTCAACATATGAATTCTGGAAGGATACAAATATTCAGTCTATAGCAACACTTTATTATCTTCATTTAAACAAGCATATACAATACTGAATACTTACAAAAGTAACAATCAACACTAAATAACCCATGAGCTCAAATACAAAGGACTAGCTGTGTAACTATGATGGAATACCATCATAACTATTTATTTTTGTTTATTTATTTATCTTTATTGTTGAAAGTATTACAGCTGTCCACTTTGTGGGTTGTTTTTTCCATTGACCCCCTCCACCCCCTCCCAGGCCTTCACCAGACTATTGTCTGTGTCCATGGGCTATATAAATGTGTATACAAGTTCCCCAGTTAATCTTCCTGCCCCACCTCCACCCCTACTTTCCCTTTGAAATTCGTCAGTCTGTTCCATGCTTCTATGTCTCTGGATCTATTTTGTCCATCAGTTTATTTTGTTCATTAGATTCCACATCTGAGTGAGATAATGTGATACTTACCTTTCTCTGACTGGCTTATTTCGCTTAGCATAAAACTCTCTAGGGTCATTTATCCTGTTGCAAACGGTAAGAGTTCGTTCACATTGTATTACATTGTGTAAATGTACCACAGCCTTTTACCCATTCATCTACTGATGGGCACTTGGGCTGTTTCCAAATCTTAGCTATTGTAAATTGCGCTGCTATGAACATAGGGATGCATACATTCTGATTGGTGTTTTGGGTTTCTTAGGATATATTACTAGAAGTGGGATTGCTGGGTCAAATGGGAGTTCCATTTTTAATTTTTTGAAGAAACTCCATACTGTTTTCCAGTCTGCATTCTCACCAGCAGTGTACTAGGGTTCCCTTTCTCCACATCCTTGCCAACACTAGTTTGTTGATGACAGCCATTCTGACAGGTGTGAGGTGGTATCTCATTGTTGTTTTAATTTGCATCTCTGATGATAAGTGATGTTGAGCATTTTTTCATATGTATCTTGGCCAATTGTATGTCCTCTTTGGAAAAGTATCTATATAGGTCGTCTGCCCATTTTTTGGTTGGACTATTTGTCTTCCTTTTGTTGAGTTGTATGAATACCTTATATATTTTGAAAATTAACCCCTTATCAGATGTATCATTGGCAAATATGTTCTCCCATGCGGTGGGCTCTTTTTTCAGTTTGCTGATGGTTTCTTTTGCTGTGCAGAAAGCAGCTTTTTATTTTGATGCAGCCCCATTTGTTTATTTTCTCCTTAGTTTTCTTTGCCCTAGGATATGTATTACATATTGCTATGAGAAATGTCTGAGATTTTGCTGCCTATGATTTCTTCTAAGATTTTTATGGTTTCACGACTTACATTTAAGTTTTTTATCCATTTTGAGTTTAATCTTGTGTATGGTGTAAGTTGGTGATCTAGTTTCATTTTTTTTTTTTGGCATTTCCTGTCCAATTTTCCCAGCACCATTTATTGAAGAGGCTGTCTATACTCCATTGTATATCCTTGCCTCCTCTGTCAAATATTAATTGAGTGTAATGGCTTGGGTTGCTTTCTGGGGTATCTGTTCTGTTCTTTGTGCCTGTTCTTATGCCAGTACCAGACTGTTTTGAGTGCAGTGGCTTTGTAGTATAGCTTGATATCTGGTATTGTGATTCCTCTAACTTTGTTCTTTCTCAAGATTGCTGAAGTTATTCGGGATCTTTTTTTGGTTCCATATCAATTTATGGAGTGTTTGTTCTAGATCTGTGAAATATGCCATTGGTATTTTAATAGGGATTGCACTGAATGTATAGATTGCTTTGGGTAGTGTGGACATTTTAATGATGCTGATTCCATCATAACCATTTAAAGGCTACATTCAATAATGTTTAAGTGGAAGTGTGTGTATTCACCATGTATTACTGGGTACTCGCTGTGCACAGTCACTAGAAACTGTAAACACAAAGATATAGAATAAGCCAGAGTCCCCAGTTCATTTAACTACTCTTCATATAGTATGACTTCAAATTTCCTCACTATTTGGTCATTTTTGGTGCTCAAAAGCAAACAAACAAACAAAAATACTTCAGATATAGCCTCATCATCTTGAAACTGAGCAGGGCTATCTACTTCCTCATTCTGGAGACACAGTACAGAACCCAATACATTAGCTGTACTGGCACTCACAGTATCCAGTCGATTCATATCGAGTTCACCATCAATGAAAACTGCGCTTTTATCATCTCTCCCTCATCTCACACGTGTATCCTTGATTTTTCCACACCTCAGCAAAACATTGTCTCTTTTTTGTAAAAGCTGATTCACCATTCCAGCTGGTTGGGATTGATCAGGATTCTGATTCAACCCTCTATTCCAGAGTTAGGTCAGGGACACATTTTATCATTTCATCAACACCTCGAGGTTATTAAACTTCTGAAAAGTACAAAGTTGGGGTACAACGAAATGGCACATCAGTACAGACCTCCCTTCAGCCTGCATTTGACTCTTTCAGTAGTAAACCAGCTCTGATTTCACCTAATTAGACTGCTATCAGTCCATCTTCATCTGCACACACACACACACACACACACACACACAGTGGTATGGCACAATTGTTAGGAAGGCAGGCTTTGAAGCCACACTGCCTGGGTTCAAATTTCAGCACTGCCACTTACTAGCTCTGTAGGCAAGTTCCTTAACCTCTTTGTGTCCCAGATTCCCCATCTGTAAAATGGGGATAGTTGCACCTAATTTACTGGTTATGAGGATTAAAGTAGTTAACCTGTGCAAAACACTTAAAACAGTGCCTGGCATGTAATAAGTTTGCCATAACAATAACAAAAACAGGAGATGATTAAATATTTTAGGTACCTCCTGTCATCCCTCCTGATGTTGTCTACTCGAGTGTCATTAGCTAAAAGGGAATGACCTAGCTTGGTGGCTTTTGCTTTTTTTCTGAACTTATGCTATAGCCTAGTAGTGGTCACTAGTTCCTTATAAATGTGCTCAATAACTACTGAGAAGCAAACATTTTGTTTAGGATCAAAGTCCATATGTTAAGAAGGCAGATTCCACCTCTGGAAGAAACAGGGACCCATGTTTTTATTTTCAGTATTCAGGTCCCTCTCCTGTGATAGAGAAACATCCATCGACTGCCTCTGCAAGCGCTCCAGGGCAATGGGACCCACAACCTAAGCATGTGCCCTGACCAGGAATCGAACCCACAACCCTCCACTTTACAGGATGATGCTCCAACCAAATGAATTACCCAACCAGGGCTCTTTGAATGTTTTGAAGTTAATCCTCCAAGATAAAAAGCAAACTCATTATTACCCAGCATCCCATTCCACTCCTTGATTAGCACAAAGTAAGGGTGACAGGGAACCACTTTCTTTGGATTCTGGGAGCCTGTCATTTCAGAATTCCCAAGGATAAACTTCTTACAGTATTAACACAGAATTCTTCATATTTCCTGAGGTTAAAGTTTTGCACGCCAAAATTTAAAAAATGGTCTATGACTCTACGGATTTAAGTGAAGACAGAATATAAGTCAGTTTTGAGCTAAACACACTACCAGCCTGTTACTTTGCTTTATAAGACACTAAACAAGGTCTTAGAACACGGAATTCATTTGATGGTAGGGTTTACCCAAGTTCCCATTCTGATCTGAAGTAAGATCGCAAAGGTCAGAGGGATTTCCACAAGGTCTGGTGAATTCTTTTCTTTGTAAAAAGTTCTTCTGCGAAAGAAGTGGAGTAACTTCACTTTAGGATTCGATCCACAAGGTCAGGATAAAGTTCCCACTTCATCTACAGGTTCTCTCCTCTCCTAAACTCTCAGGCGGTTTTGGTGGCTTAACTCTTTCCAGCTAACACGGACTCACCGCACGTGGGAACTGCATTCCAGCGATGCCCCATTTACAGACACGACCAGGCCCAGAGAAGGGAGTGTCTTGCCTAAGTTCGGGGCCCATTAGCCACCGCAAGTCAGGATAAGCCTTCATAGGTCTGGCAATATTTTATTCCAATACGGAGCATCACTTTATAAAAAGACCCTGTTGTTTACCATATCCGATTATTTTTTTAAAATTTGGTTTTCTGCCCGTTCAAATCTCGAAATCTCTGCTTTGGCAACGTTTTCCCACACGCCTAACACTCCCCAAAGGAACATTCTAAAAATGGACTCTTAAGTTCGTCCTCAAGACCCTTGGAAGACATTTCGGTGACTTTTGGGAGTGGTGTTCAGTCTCAGAACTCAAGAGCTCCAGGATGGCAGCGCTAGCTATCTTGCGGCCCCGGATGTTGCTTTTGGTAAATCTTGGGGGTGGGAAGCCCCATAAATCTAACTTCAAAATGAAACCTTTGAAGGGATATGGGTGGCACTCCACGTTTACAGCTCCTTGCACGATCACGGAGCCAAGAACGGCCACCAGAAACACAACAGGAGACTGCAGGCCGCTCACTAACGCATCTGAAAGCCGGCGAGGTACCGGAAAAGGCCGAGGAGGGGCTCAGGTGCTGCGGGCCCCGCG